TGGACATACAAAAGAAACTGGCTGATGTCTTAATAATTAAAAGGGATATACAAGTAACAAATCAAGAGAGTGACCGGGATAATTTTCTTACATTGGATTTACAAAAGAGGCTTGTTAAAAGTTTTGAAGAATTGTTTGAGAAGGCACAAAGAAAAAATGAAAAGAAATCAAACTATACAATGTTATTTGAAGGGACTAAAGATCAAGAAAGTTAGAAGTAAAAGGAAGGAATATAAAGTTGGTTTATTTGATCTAGGTTAAAATAGACATGTTGTTATCTCTAGTAACCCTTAATGGACTTTTGCTGACATCAGGACTGAAATAATGAGGCTTTATGGGTTTATTTATAGATAAGAGATGGGATACGGGAAGAAGAGCTCATTTGTTGTATTTTAAGAGAATGTTATGTTACTAAAATTGTTTATACTTGTTGTGATGAAGGGGGAAATCACTTCTTTATACAATTCTTTTCTTTTTTTATACTATATTTTTATTTTTTCTTTCTATTTCTATTTCTTTCTATTTTTTCTTTTTTCTTCTTTTGTTTCTGCACCCTTTACTTTTTATTCTTTTTTAGTTTGTATTAGTTCTTATTGTTGTAATTGTAATCTTTAATAAAATTACTATTAAAAAAAAGAAACTGGCTGAAGTTTTAAAAATTAAAAAGGAAATACAAATGATAAACCAAGAGAATTATCTGGAAAATGTTTTCTTATTGGAGCTACAAAAGAGGCTTGTTAAACCCTTGAAGAAATCTGTGTGATGGGATAAAAAAGGACTGAAGAGAAATAAAATCATATGACAATATTTGATTGAATTAAAGATTAAGACTGTTAGAAACTAAAGGAAGGACTATAAAGTTGGTTTATTTGATCAAGGTTAAAAGATTTTTTTTGCAATGTTCTGGCAACCCTTTATGGACTTTTTGCTGACACCAGGATTAAAAAATTGATGTTTTATGGAACTGCTTACAGATAAGGGATGGGATATGGGATGAAGAGTGTATCTGTTAACCTTACAGGGGGTGAAGAGTTATTACATTTGTTTATACTTGTTGTGATGAAGACTGAAAGTCTTTTCTTTATATATTTCTTTTCTTTTTCTTTATTACATTCTCTTTTCTTTTTTCTTTTTCTCTTTTCTTGCACTTTCTATTCTTTCTTTCC